CACACCAAGTCCGGGTTATATTGTTCCACAATATCTATGACACTGCGTTACTCTGCGATGTAAGTCGTTACTCCGCACAATGCTTTGCTTCTTTGTAATGCAGGTCGTTACTCCGCAAGGTCCGTTGACGGAAACTAGCGAGCAGGGAGCGACTGATGTGGGTCGACGGTTGGCAAGCGGTGGTCGACAGTCACGGAAGCGAGAAATGTTTGTCAGGGCTGCGAATTCATAACTACTCTCAGATTCTCAACCTTCTTCTCTCGATCCAGTCCTAGGTTTCTCTCTTTCATTAAGGGAGTAGGGTTCTATTTATAAATTTTCAAAGTTACATCCTTTGTAAATAATACATGAATCTGAAACACTCCATCAGATGTCCCAGAATAATTTCCTTAATTGGCTGATGTTTTATGAACATTTAAGTGACATAATGATGCTAGAATTGAGTGTCCGTTGACAGAGACTGGCGAGCAGGGAGCGGATGATATGGGTCGACGGTTGGCAAGCGGTGGTCGGCAGTCACGGAAGCGGGAAGTGTTTGTCAGGGCTTCAAATTCATAACTTCTCTCAGATTCTCAACCTTCTTCTCTCGATCCGGGCCGAGGTCTCTCCCTTTCATGAAGGGACCCTCTATTTATAAATTTTGAGAGTGACATCCTTTGTAAATAATACATGAATATGGACCACTCAATCAGATGTCCCGGAATAATTTCCTTAATTGGCTGATGTTTTATGGATTTTAAGTGACTTAATGATGCTAGAATTGAGTGTTCTTGGGCTAGTTAGATTTGTCTCATCGAGACGTTCGATTTGATTATAATATTTTCAGATCTGGAATCTATTGACTCTCTAATTAACCACCCAAAGCCTCAAAAAGTGGTTTAATAGCTTGATCTGAGCTTTATTTGACTCAAATTGGATCAATTTTGATGTTATTGGGTTTCTCATTAAGGCGTCCAGTTTGACCGTAAATTTGCTGAAATCTAAATTCTATATAATTTTAAATTTGAGTTTAAAGATTTCTTACTCAAATAATGCCTCAAGCTTCATGTCATACCTCAAGATTCATATCACAACAACAACAAGCCTTTAGTCCACTAAGTGGGGTCGGCTATATGATTTCTTTTTCTCCATTGGGTCATATTGAGTGTCATATTTTCATTTAATTCTAATAAATTAAGATCATTTTTTTATACAATATGCCCAAGTTTTTCTAGGTCTACTTATGCCTTTTTTAACATAAGTTAAATCCATAACATCTACTCTCCTAACCGGGTCATCAGGTCATCAGATAATCGATGTTTAATGTGACCAAGCCATCTAAGATGACTCTCTCTAATTTTGTCCGCCATTGGAGCGACACCAACCCTATCACATATATATTCATTTTATATGAGATATATGTAATGAATATATTACATATATTCATTACATGTAATATATATGTAATGAATATATATATTAGAGAGCTCATGGGCAATTTAGCTTCTTGTTCGATGATATTTAGAACAATTAAAATTTAAGAAAACATTTTAAAGTTTTCAAAATTTTCACCTCTGATAGTGGCAGTGGTGAAAACATGTGAAAACATGGCGGGGCGCAACACAAGGCAGTGAATCAAGATCGGTAGTCCGGCGGGTGAGGCCCTATACATTGGGCTGCGGAGCTGTGACCCGATTGTGTGATCACTCAAATCACAATCCAAGTGTGGCAAGCTTCTGCAGGACAACTGCAGATCGTGCATGATCAGACAATCAGGGCGCCTTCTTGTGGGTTTTATTTTACATTTTTTTCCTGATTTTTGAGTTTTGGCAGCCATGTCACACAATTTGGAACCCTTTAAATTGGCCAAAATTAGAGGGAAGAGTCATACTCTCTCTCTGAAGTGTCTAGGGTCTCTTGGCCCGCAGTTGTGCCTCCTTTTGCTCCAGAGTAGTGAAACCCTTGAGTTTTTATGACCTGTTGTTATGCACCTTTTGCATTGGTGTAACACTCCCCTCAGTCCATTTGGCTACTTGTTTTGCCTTCTTTTGTGCAGGAATCATTGCTCAATTTTTGGGGTACTTTTGCCTAAATTTTTGGATGTGTTCGCCCAATTTTTTGGATGATGTCATTCAACTTTTTTGATGCTTTCTCCCAATTTCTGGGATGATGTTTCCCTACCTCTGAGATAATGTTGTCCAACTTTTTGATGCTTTCATGTGATGTTGTTCAACTTATAGGGTGATTTAGCCCAATTTCTCGGATGATGTTGCCCATTATATGGAATTATTTTTCTTAATTTTTGGTATGATGTTGTTCAACTTATGGAATGGTGTTACCCAACTTCTGGGATGATATTGCCCAACTTCTAGAATGCTTTTACCCAATTTTCGGAATGTTGTTGCCCAACTTTTGGGATGATGTTATCCAACTTTTGTGATGTTTTTGCCTCAATACATTGAGGTTATTGTTGTCAAAACGTTGATCCGTTCTGATGCTTGTACCTTTCTAATGTTTTTAGAGTGACGACCATGTCAACAATTTGCCCTTATGGAGTCCTGTTAATGAGGGCCCTATCCACTGCTAGCTTCTCATCAAGACTACGTAACATATGTGTTTTTCAGGGGTACAAATGTATATTGTACCTATCACTAAGAATGTTCGACTTTTCTGTATTGTTTAATCAGAGCATCTGTTCAATGACTATGACCCATGATGGAGAAAAATAATTGTAATCCATGAAAGATGTAAGATCTATCCTAGGTCATATAGTTGTAGATACTCGACGACGTTAACCTGTCAGGGACAAAGTCGAATGTAATATCTATTTAGGATATAAGATTCGTCTTAGGTTGTACAACCGAAAATGCTCGATGCCGTTAATGTCTTATGGATAAGTCATATATAATATTCATTTAGGATGTGAGACATGTTCTATGTTACATTTGTTGGAGATTTGCTGCTAAGCTTGATTCAAATGGATGCGCGTATCGAGCCAACATTATATAGGAGGGTGCTTTCTGAGGAGAAACTTTAATGTGCAGAGGGGGTACCTCTAATTGATGGATTTTGAGGTAGTTGCACACCTCCAATCTATACTACTGTTGGTTGTCGCACCTTGCATAAAACCCGAACGATAATATTTCGAGACACTTCAATTTGTTGTACACGATCTTCTAGAGGTGCAAAAGTGGTTCGTTTGCCAATGAGAAAATTTGTATTATTGGGAAGTGAAGTAGAGGCTTGGCATCCAGGACTTCAGAATCCCACATGACTTGATTTCCTACAGATGGTATCAAATTGTTGTGTGATAGATCATCCACAACAATAAGAGTAATGAATGACCTTCTCGGCATAGTACAAAATTCAACACAAATGAGAAAATAACAGGAGAAGATGCCTGAAATTTTTATGTGAAGAAACCCAGAAAGGAAAAAACTATGGGGTCTAACTTAGTCAGAATGATTCACTAGAAGTTTGCAAGTTCAAATATGAATCCTTATGTCACAATTGGGAAATGGTTCTCCAAGTACAATGTCCACACACATAAGTGTTCGTTATACAACAGTCATAAGCAGTCACTACAACGAGATGTCGCTAGAAATTTCGAACATCGCGTTTGGAGTACATTGTTGCATAGTATCTCAGGCATTGTGTTACTTAGAGACATAAGTCGTTATTCCGCATGATGCTTCGTTACTCTGTAACGTACGTTGTTACGCCATAAGGTCCAACGATGAAGACGAGTAGAGGGCGGCAGATGGTGATCCACGACAGCCGGCGGGGCAGCAATCGATGGTATTCGTCAGTCCTGGAAGCAGGAAGTGTTCGTCGGGGTTTCAAATCCAGAACGGCTCTTGGATTCTCCTCCTTCTCCCGATCCAGGTCTAGGTCTTCACCCTTCATGAAGTGAGTAGGGCTCTATTTATAGATTTTGGCAGTGACATTCACCATATATAATGTATGAATCTCGAGCACTACATCAGAAAACCCAAAGTGATTTCTTTGATTGGATGACATTCTAAGGACATTTAAGTATCTTAATGATATTAGTATTGAGTGATCTTGGGCTTGTTGGATTCGCTCACCAAGGCGTACAATTTGATTATAAGCTTGTGATATTTAGAATCCATTTGTCTCTTTAATTAACCACTCAAAGTTTACAAAAGTGATTTAACGGTTTGATTTGAGCTTGATTTGACTTGGATTAGATTAATTTTGGTGTTATTAGGTTCGTCTCGTCGAGTTGGTCTGTTTGACTATAAGTTTTGTTGAAATTATAATTTTGAATGATTTTAAATTTGAGTTTTAAGATTTCTTGCTAAAAAAGCCCCGAGATTCATGACATACCTCGAGACTTGTGCCAAATGATGAAAATTTATTGATGAGGTATTGATAGTGATGATAAAATTATTGCGATGATTTTATGAACAAATGGGAACTTACTCTTGAAAAGCTTTCAAGTTGTGGAATTCTAGAATTTTTTAAGTTTTATTTATTTATCTCTTTTATGTTATGCTTTTTACTTGACTTTGGAAATTCATGCTTTATTTTGTGGTTGATATTGGGTAAAATTAAGTTCGGGAATCGTATTTTCTCATGCACCCCCATTTATTTTACACTTGCATGACTACTATATTAGATTGAGAAAAGTTTCCAAAAAGGTCCCTTAACTCTTTATAGATCATTTTAGTCCCAAAGTTTATAAAAACTTCAATTTAGTCCCCATACTCCTTACATATGAGCTGAAATAATCCCAAGCAAGGATTATTTTGGGATTTTTTTAGCTCTAACTGAAGAGTCTGATGATTAATCTGACATTTTTATAGACTTCGTAATCAAAACGAACCCAAGCAAACCATCAAGAGACTATTTTGACAATTTACCCATAGCATATCTCATCCTCTCACTCTCCCACGAACTAAAACTATTATTTTGCCCATACCGCATAAACTGAGCATCTTCTAGATTTTGATCTCTTCACTATTGTTTTACAAATTTATCATATTCACACTTGGCAGATGCTTTCATGTTAAAAAAAGGAGATGTTTTTCACAACAAGTGGGTCGAATCGACATGGACAAGCACTAGCTCACATTGAAGTTACACTTTTGAGGCCATTGATGGAGTTTGGATGCTTATAGCTGCTGAGGTCAGTTGGCACTTTCCACAGGGTTTCAGTACTGTTACTCTCTTTACCTGTAACTCTAATTTGCAAGTGCATGGCCATGCATTGCTTCCCAAACTCATTATTCCCACTCAGAAATCTGGACTTTTTCTTAGCTTTTGATTTTCAGCGGTGTTACGTGTTCACAATACCAGAATGGATGGTGTAGGTATTTCCTGTCTCTATATATTTTGGGGCATTTGCATACACACGACACAGTTCTTTTATATTTACATATCTAACCCTTAGACAGACATTCATGTTTTCTTTAACACCACTCGAATTTTTTACATCACATTAAAAATATCACTTTCATTATCTTTTTAAAAATGAAATACAGCTTTTCATGCCTAGGCTTATGATACCAAGGTGATTGCATAAGATTTGTGTGGCATGTTTGTAAATTGCCTTTTGTTTGCTTAAGGAAGATTTACATATACACCACTCATATCTAACGCCTAAAATGTAAAAAGCAAAATTTAGGTATTAAATTTGTAAATTCATGCATACCGTCTTACCAATGCATTTAAAGGTGAAAAATGATGGTGTTTTTGATGTGTTATGAAAGATTTGGGTGGTAAAAATGTGAAAAGTAAATTTCAGTTGTTAGACATGTAAATACATAAGAATTGGGTGGTATATATATGTAAAAGCCCCCCCTTTTTTTTTTCTTTTAACCAGACAAAGCTTTTTGAATACTGATACATCTTATCAGATCCGTCCAGTCATGATCATGCGTCTCTTATGAGCGGGCCCCTTGATTGCTTGATGGAGACTCCACATTGTTTCTTCTGCTGAAGTATTGGATTGAATTTGATGGTAAAAATAATTCAGCAGCACTGCTTTGTTTTCCTGCTACTTTAGTTTGTAGGCATTGGCCCATCTCTTTTTGGCAAGTTTTCAGGTTCGTGGGCTCTTTGATTTGATGCAAAGTAGATTTGTTAAAACTTGTGGTGGAGTTGGTAAAAATTAATTTTGTTTGATTTGATGTGAAGTTATTGCATCTAGCTTTTGGCAAAATATGGAGTTTGCTTTGTACTTTTATGTAAATTTAAAGTTTGTTTAAGGGGTTATTGCGTATGAGATGGTATTTTTAAAAAAAAACATGATGGGAAAAGCAAAAATAAAAATAAAAATAAAATTAAAAATAAGTCATTTGATGGTAGTTAATTAGGGTAAAAAAACATGATGGGAAAAGCAAAAATAAAAATAAGTCATTTGATGGTAGTTAATTAGGGCTATTGGTTCAAATAGTTTATCGATATGACTAAGAACGACTAATATTCAAGGTGTCTCGTCTAGGACTTGTAACATCTAAGCTTCATCTAGTAGGAAGAGATGACACCACCATATAAGTTAACCTATAAAAGGGCCCACTTAATCGTAGTTAATTAGGGCTATTGGTTCGAAAAATTTATAAATATGACCGACGCATTAAGTTCGTCTTTAAGATCAATTAATGTTCAAGGTGTCTTGTCTAAGACATCTTAGCTTCATCTACTAGGATGAGATGTCGCCACCATATAACTCATCCTAAAAAAGGACCCACTCATGGATTGACAATTCGAAAACAAATATATATCTACCCTTGAAGGTTACAACTCTTCCCCCTACAACTCCTAAATCATATTTTTGATACCCTATTGGTCTCCTCTAAATGCCCAACATTCAACTCGCTAATGGACGCCCAATGCCTTAATTTGATAATTGCTCTAACTTGACGGGTCACTTAAACGTCAATATTATATATATGATAAGTTATCATATGATCATTTGCCTCATTAGAGTATCATGCATTTGCATTGGCCTATGAATACCACATATACTCCATACATGATTTTGTAGCTAGAGCATAAAAGGATTCACATGTCCCATTAATGATTTAATAGCTACAATTTTCTTATACTCATTATGATTACATATAAATATGTTAAGCTAACAACAAGAATAAGATCATGTCATTTTTCCTAATTAGTTGATAAAATCAAAATTTATTTTAATTATGGGTGATCAACACTCTAAATATATGTAAGTTATTATACTTAATTAAATAGTTTGGCAAATGCTACATTATTATGTTATTGTAAATGACCACATACTCATAGCCAAATGATCCAATGTATTTGGCTTCCCATGGTTTATTTCTATTAGATTATTATGATGATTTTATTTGCCAGTAAAAAAAAACATAGGATAATAGCAGTATGGCTTCTTTATCTAATTGAAATCTTATTATTCCTTATATATATGCGAATGTCTGGCTCATTCGTGCGGCCTCTGGCGTAAGTCCCTTGGGTCGGAGGTTCGAATCCCGTGGCGCGGGCCCTTCGGATCAGATACAAGCACGCCTGAGTTTTCAACTCATTGGAGAAATCAATAGTTGATGCCCACTAGACCAATTATCGATTTCACCTTTTATATATATATATATATTCAGGGTAGGGCCGGTTTTATTTTTGAAAATAAATTTACATTAAAAACCTCTGAAAATTTGTCTGGAGATGAAGGCTCTTATTATTATTATTATTAAAATTTTATGATATGACTGAATCATGTAAGTGCAGTTAAACATCATGATAAAAAATTAAAATAAAAATTGGAGATTTACTCAAATGCCACCCAATTCCTCCATGTCTATGCATTAGAACACCTAAAGTTTTTTTTTTTTTTTTTTTTTTTTTTACATTTATACCACCAAAATATTTCATACATCACATAAATTATCACTACTTTTACTCTTTAGAAATTGAAATACATGTGCTAGCATTGTATTTCATGCATAAGTGCGTTGGCCTATATATAGAAAAATAAAGATTTGGTGTTTGGTAGATATGTAAATACATAAGAATTGAGTGGTATGTATGTAAGTAAATCTTCCAAATTATTTCAGGACTAAACTGGATTTCTTGTAGATAAAATTAAATTATGGCATTCATAATTTAACTTTTGCTATTTTTAAAATTTATAGCAAAAGTTAATTTAACTTTTGCTATTTTAAATAATCTTAGAATTCCTGTTTTTTTAATACTTATAAATTTTAAATTTTTTAATTTTATATATTTATTTTTATGTTAAAATAAAAATTTTCCAAATTAATGAGTAAAATATATCATTTTATTAAAAATGAGTGAAATCATGCTCCTAAAATATTTTAAAACTCACTAAAATTGTCATTATGTTATCATTATCTTCAACTTAATTATTTATAAATAAAAAATAATTATACGAGGTTGATTTATCTATTTATATTATAATTCAATTAAGTTAACTAAAGTTATCTTAATTTTACACGTTACATGTTATCTTTAGATATAATCAAGTTATTTGACAATATAATTAAATTTAAAAGATAAATATAAATAGCTTATTAGATTAATATAACTAGATAATTAGTTATTGACAACTATAATTGATGGATGCTAGAAAATTCACAACGGTAGAGTGATTATTTTGCGTCTTAATATTATACGAGACTCTAATACACACTCAGTTAATGAAAGAGAAGCAGGAGGAGACCTACCAATTTTTATGTGCAAAACACTGAAAAGGGAAAAAATCAGGGGGCCTAGCCTAATTGAAAAAATAAACTATGAATGGTGAGTACACATGTACACTCTTGTCCTGAAATAGGGAAGATGAAGTTATAAATATGATCATTGTAAATGCACATCAGTGGTTCATCGAGAATAGTCATAGTCTGACTATAATGAATGTAGTTCTTGATGATGGTAGGCTGCAAGGGTTGTACTATGGTGGCAGTGTGTCAGTGGTCCACCATGAATTTTGTAGACAATGGTCATACCGCTAGCTTGTTGTATAGGTTTTAGTTGAAAGTCATGGGAGTAGTTGATAATGTGGGTCGCAGATAGTTTTTTTAGGAGCGTCATTTGGCCACAAAGGTCATAGTAGGAAGCTATAAGAACTATGAGTCAAGTTAGTTGTAGTTGGCCACATGGGTCGTAGTGGTGAGCTGCAATGATGCTCGTAAGATGTAGGGGCCGGAGTTGGGAGATGCTCTAGCTATGAACCACCTAGGCTATGGTTTATTCATGTGGGCTGTAGTGGTAAGGTGTGATGACATTTATAGGTCACGACAGGCTGAGTTGGGAGCTGCACCAGTTGTGAAGCACGTAGATCGTAGTAATGAGTTGTGATTATGTACGTAGGTCGTGAGGGCCGGAGCGGGAGTTACATGAGCTGTGGACCACGTAGATTGTTGTTGGTCATATAAATTGTAATGGCGAGCCTTAATGATGTTTGTGGGTCGTAAAGGTTGGAAGCGGAAATAGCAGTCGGAGGCAGCTGAGGCTGAAGGAGGTGAAGGTCGAAGTTGGTCGGATGGGTTGTAGCTCCCTCTTCTGCATGCTCTGATCTTCCTTATGCCTAATGTTTAGGTCTTCTTCTCTTAAGGTGGACATGACTCTATTTATAGAGTCTACGTTGCAAATAAGTAAGGAATTCAGATCACACTTGATCGGACGGCCCAGATAGATCTCCTTGATTGGACAACAATCGATGGACATTTTAGTGCTTTAATGTGTTAGAATTGAGCAATTTTGGGCTCTTTGAATTCAATTTACCAAGATGCTCAATTTGAGTCTTTGATTATAATCATGTCATATTTGGAATCGTTTCATGGCTAGATATTGGCTTGATTTGACTCGGATTGAACCCATCTTGGTATTGTTATGCCCATTTTGTTGCTCTAGGTTTGTTGAAATTAGAATTCTGGATGACTCTTAATTAAAATTAAACATTTGTTGTTAAAAAAAACTACCTCAATCTCTATGCCATGCCTCTAGATTCATCCAGTATGGTGCAAATTTGTTGGTGACACATCAATACTAATGTTAAAAAAAATCAAGATGATATTTTAGAAATTTTTTTTCTAAATAGTCATAGAATAATGTGAAATTTCTTATGGCATAAAAGATAAATATCAAATACATATTGCATACAACACAACTATTAGCACAAATCTCAAAGCATTGGAGTGTCCCAATTAGGGCTGTCAATTTGGCTCATTGTTTGTGAAAAGCTCGTGTTCGGCTCGTTCGTTAAGCCTAACGAGCCGAACAAGAACAAATTTTTAAGCTCGAAATGTAAACAAGCCGAACACGAACAACAGTTTGTTCGCTCGTGTTCGGCTCGAAATGACTCGGAAAAAAAATTATATAACTTTTTATATAATAATATATTACATATATTATTTATATAATAATATATTATATATATTTATGTCTAAGTTTAAATCATAACAGCTCAAGTGACAATGTTGTTAGTGTCTTCTTTTGTATAGATTTGATCCAAGTTCGAATCCCACACTTTACATCAATTTTTCTCAATTTTAGTTTAATGAGCCAATTTCAAGCCGAACACGAACACGAACACGAATATTTAAATCGAGCCGAACATGAACACACTGTTCACGAGTCAATTTCGAACACGAGCTATTTCAAACGAGCCGAACACTAGCCAAGCCTGAGCTCGCTCAAGCTCGGCTCGTTTACAGCCCTAGGCCCAATCGACGACCAAAAAAAAGGCGTTCTATCGCTTTACAGTCAATTGCATAGTCAAGAATCAACTGACACACTATGGCTAGAGATTAAAGCAACACACCACACCGACAGTCTCGATCGACTTGGGTGTGAGCATGAATCCTTGATCACAACAAATCGATTGACCCGCCTTTACTGCAACGAACCAGGCGCCTCGACCAACTAACACGTACTTCAAAAGGCAATTTCGCCACTCAACCGACAGCCTCAGTCGACCGAATTTAAGCAAGTTAGCCAACCAATTACCACTATATTAAAATTCAAATTGTAATATCGATATAGCATGAAATCTATATGATTAATAAGAGCATCCATTATATCAAGAGTGGTTTCAATAACCCTTCCACTCTTTCTGTAACGTACAAAATAAGCTTCTATAAATATGAGACAAAAATACTAACAAATGAACATTTTTACCGATTCTCTCTATAAAAAACTTCTAACTTCCTATACTCCCTTTCTCTCCTCCTTCACTCAATCCTAAACTCTCGG